AAAAAAAAAAAATGCTTCAATTTATATTTTCTTACAGTTGTGTTGGCACAAAATCCACATGTAGTACAATTCAGTAGTTCAATCATAGAAGAACTATACAATCATTAGCCAACCAATTTTAGAACATTTTCCTTATTTTTAATGGTTAAATCACTTTTAAAGTGAGTTGTGGATTCACAAGGTTCTAGTGCTCCCTTCCCCTCACCACATACATTTAATGCTCCCCCAACCTCCTCACCCTCTCTGTCTCCCCCACCCCTAACCCCTATAAACCACTGCCTCAATTATTATCTGTAACATCTACTTCTGTGCTTCACAAACTGGAAAGCCCAAAAGAAACAGTAAAAATCAGAAACAAAGTAAAATGGTAAGCATTAAATAATAATACAAAAAGAAAAATGCAAACAGAGTAAGAAAGGTCACTATCAGTATTTAAAAGGCCAGGGAAGAAATCTTGTCAGAACAAGCAAGAAATGCTTACGTGTACAACGATTTCTGGTTGAGACGAGAGAGATCCACTGACCAAGTGTTCAGTCCAGTGTAATCACGATCACAGTGATCGCGATCTGATGGTAAAGTTGTTTGAGATCCTGGCCTGTGACTAGAGGGCACCTGCCAGCGGTTTAATTTGACTTGATACTCTGCAGATGCGTTTTGGCTCCCACTGCCCTCCATCGCCTTCTACAAGTTGGGTGTTTGCAATTTTGGCTCTGATACTTTCCCTTTTGTAATACTTGAATTTTGTTATTGTCGGCTTTGGATCACAAGCTGGTGTGCTTCTTCTATGTGGACATAGCTGACTCCTCACTTAGATGGCTACTTGTTTGAATACAACCTTTAAGACCCCAGACACTATTTCGATTGATAGCCAGGCACCATCTGCTTTCTTCACCACACTTCGCTGTAGCACCCTTATCATGAAGATGAGTATCGAACAAGGCCATGTTATCAGAACGAACTGTTCTTGGATTAGGGCTGAGTTAACTGGTGGCCCAGAATCCATCTGCTTGTCCCTGGGATATACACGACTCGGTTTATGTTGGCAGTCATATTAGGACAAAATTAAAACCCCCTTAAGACTAAGTACCTCAACAACAGCAACAAACCAACTAGCAGACAACAAACAAACAAAATAAAGGCAAGAGAACAAAAACCCATAGAAACAGAAAAGTAAAACACCCCCCTGGGGTACAGCGTGATTGCACTTGTAACGTCATCACATTTTCCGGTGACACAGCACCCTGGACACTGGGTATGAAGAACCCAAGTAAGTGCAGTTCCACCATGAGCCACACCCATGCGTTGTTGCTTCACACAGTTCAGCCTCCCTTTTGATTGAGCTCTTTTATCCCCCTAAGCATGGGGATTGGTGCCAGGAGGAAGCTTCCTGGATTAAGTCTTCCAAGTTCAGACCCCTGCCCAACAGATCAAAACCTGTCATGTCGCTGAGACAGGATCATCGAGGTACTAAATATATGGTGATTCTGGGTCCCTTTCCATTGGACACCTACCAAGCCAAGGGTTCCCACCAAGTTCCAATGATCGGGTCGGCCACTGCTTCCTCTCACCCAAGTGCCCCAGTCCTCAGTCCTTGGGTGCAGGCACCTTTGAGGCAGGGCACAGTTCATTCTGCCGGGCCTCTATGTTAAGTCCTTCCGATGGATCCCCTGAATTATGCCAGGCTGCCTGCAAGGTCAGCATCCACGGTCATCATGGTAGTTCACTGAGGGTTGAGTAGAAGCATATTCATGGTATCCACCCAGGAACATACAATCTGGTCCGTTATCCCTTAGCATCCCTTCTCGCAACAGAACGATCAGTGTCTCCTCGAAAATGTAGGTGCTCCTTGCCCCTGATCTTGGCTTGATTTTCCATCAAGGTTCTTCCATTCCAGGGGTGGGGGTGGGGGCATTGATTGGTCCCAGCCATGTCTCGTTGTTGTGTACTGTTTACGTGGATGGCCTTCTCCATTTTTCCCTTCTTGAAGGAGTGACCCCAGGCAATGTGAGGTCTCCTCTTTCAAGATGGCTCGTGTGCGGTGTGTAAAAGGGAAGTACGTGAAAGGGAGGTTCATGGCCTCTCCTTTTGTTTAGTACTTAGTCACTAAGACTTGTTTTACTGGTATTTTTCATGATAGTAGTGGACTCATAGAATACTTGTCCTTTCGTGATTGACTCACTTCACTCAGCATAATGGTTTCCAGGTCCTTCCATGTGGTGCGGTGTTTCATGCTTCATCACTGTTTTTCAGGGGTGCATCGTATTCCACTGTGTGTGTGTGTACCATAGATTTTTTTTTTTATCCATTCTTCAGCTGTTGGGCATCTGGCTGCTTCCAGTTTCTTGCTATTGTGAACTCTGTTACGAACATGGGAGAGCATACATCCAACTCGTGTTGTTGACCTACCCCATCCTTGCAGGGTATCGTTTTGTGTTTACTGTTAGCACTTTTTAATTTTCTGGCACATCCGATTAGCTGCCCTAGGTCAGTCTGCATATTTCTTGCATAAGTTCTAGACTCAGCTATTTCTTGAATGTGTCATTACAGCTTAAAAAGTAAGAAAACACAGGTGTCCCTTGCTTTTGGAAAACGTGCTTTCATGCCTGTCTTAGTCATATATCGCTGCTGTAGCAGAAGTATCACAGACAGGTGCCTTTGGCTAACAGTTGTGTTCTTTACAGTTTTAAGAGGCTAGAAGACTAATTCCGTGGGTCCTGATCTAGGAAGCCTTTCTCTCAGGAAAAATCCTTTTCTCCTTTTAAACAACTCTGGATGAGATGGTCCATGGAAATGATGTATTTTATGTTAACTAAACCATGTGTTTCTGCTGGCAACCTTTTATTTTGTTGTTGTTGCTGCTGGCATTTATTCATATCCATATTAGCTAAACATAACAGTTAATGCTGACAGTTCCAACTCTAAAAAGCCCCTCCCCTTGCTTATCTGTATACTTCCACTCCCAACATTGAGAAACCTGACTTGGACAATCCAGCAACCTTTGACTTTAACTCTCCAACTCCTGGCTACAGAAGATACAGCAACTCCCTCAGGAAACAACTTTATCAACTAGAGTATGGAGTTTATGTGCAATTCCTCTGTCTTTAATCGTACATGTTTTACTCGGTTCCAAAGTACAGGTCAGGGCCTCTTCCCCCCTCCCCACTTGAAGTGAGCTGTTTCCTACGTTTACAATACGTTTAAATTCACAGCACAGTCTGCATACATTCCTATGATCCCCAGCCTCCTAAGTGATTGGGGTGTGGGGTTTGGGTCATACATTATTTTACTTATTTATTTTATTGTACATACGTATTTATTCTGTGCTGTAAAGTCCTGTGGGTTTTGACAGATGTGTCATGTATCCACCATTGCAGTATCACACAAATCAATTTCCGTATCCTGTCATGTATTTCTAAAATATGGCTTACACAGATTATAATACTGATTTCACTCAACTATGATCTAAACCAGTGTTTCACATTGGGGGGGTCGGGAGGAGTTGCATGTGGAACTACTTTGTACTCCTACAATTATTTAAAATCCCAAAAAGCTTTTGCTTATGTGGGTAATATCTATGAATTTTTGTTACAGTGATTAAAACAGAAAAGTTCTCAAAATATGTAATGATTAATTTTGCAAATAATTATCCACATCACATTAGAGAAATAGCACCGTTTTATCTTTTTACAAACCTTTTTAATACCCACCTTAATAGAAAAGAGTCTCATATCCTTTCTACTGTCACTCTATTTTAATATGTTATTTGGGTGAGTAGGAAAGACATACATGCGAGGGTTTCCAAAAGGTCAGAAACAAGTTCCCAAGACCTTTTCGTTCCATTTTTCCATAAATTTCTTAAAGTCCTCTTGCATCTATTTGAAAGGTCTGTTACCATCAACTGACTCATGGCAGCCCTGTGTGCATCACGAGTAGGGCTGTACTCCACAGAGTTTACAAAGGCTGGAGTTTTGGGTGTCAGTTGCGAGGCATTTTTTGTGGTACTCCTTGATACACTCATATCTCCAGCCTTTTGGTTAACTTAGCAGCTAGGTGAATGACCCTCTTGGATCACCCAAGGACTCTGCACCACCCAGGTACACGTGTACATTTACCCCGTCACCATGAAAAAAAGCAGGACAAGGGGAGACTATGACAGCCTTTCTAGAACTCAACCAGCAGTCATGTCTTAAAGCAGTGGTTCTCAACCTTCCTAATGCTGTGATCCTTTAATACAGTTGCTCGTGTTGTGGTGACCCCCACTCCCCAACCATAAAATTACTTTCATTGCTACTTCACAACTATAATTTTGATACTGTTATGAATCGGGCAGCCTCTATGAAAGGGTCATTCGGCTCCCGAGGGGGTCGTGGCCCACAGGTTGAGAACCACTGTCTTAAAGGCTCCTGTGAGTCAATTGATTCAATGGCAGTGAGTTTGGTTTAGGTTTGTTTTTTTTAATTATGAATGTGAAAAAAAATGATGAATGTGGAATATGAATACCTATCAGTGAACTTTTTTAATACTACACCATTTAATACTACACCATTTGGGGGCATACATTTCGCATATCATACAATTCAAACGTTCAGTCACAGTAATAAAAGCTGTACAGTCATGTCCACAATCACTTTTAGAACATTTATTTCCCCATCGTCATCAATTTCCTAACTTCCCCCCAACCTTCTCCGTCAGACCCCTCCAGAAACCACTAATGGCATGCTGTGTATAGTGCTGCCCATCCTGGATTTTATATACAGAGAGAGACATATGTCAGTGAACTTTTTGACAGTCTTTTGTCTGTCTTAAATGTGGTTAGCTCCTTTATCCGTGTTAGCTCCTTTATTCGGACCCAGCACAGTGAGAATTAGTGATTCACTGAATTAGCAGCTCTTTCACAAGTGATATGTTTTATCAGACTATTAGAAATGGTATTTGTTAGATTGTCACCAAACTCCTCAAAAAGTCATTTTAATTAGAGACGCTGTCAAACTCACGTGGCGGGTGCATGATTTTCAAGTTTCCAGTTTCCACCCAGAGGCTGGAATGTTGCTGTAGCAACAAACACTGTCAGTTCTGCCTTTACGCCCCTATTACTCATTTTTGAGAACATGTGTGCCAAGCTCCCAAATCTGAAACTATACAGGGGGCCCTTCCAAAAAAATGACTTTCCGTGGGAAGAAAGCTCGTTCAACCTGGAAGACAGCCCCACTCGTGATTTCCTGGAGACAGCCAGTGTGCTTGGTCCTTCCTCAAGGACACCTTTAGGTGAAGTTGGTAGTGAAAAATCAATGTCTTCCTGGTGTTTTGGTGCCACTGCCTGGCCTCATCCTAGCAAACCAGCGGTTGGTTTCTCATCCGTTGTGTCTTCTTATGTTTGGTTTGTTGCACATGTTGAAAGTTGGTATCGTTGGTGCTATGAGGGATTCAGAGTGGGCTTGGGTTTAGGCCTAGGGGTTAGGTTTGATCTTGTGCGCTCCTCATGGGCCACAGGGAAGCTGCATCCCTCCTGAGGGCATTGGGGCTCTCAAGAACGTAGTGCCATTGAGTCCCTTTCGATTTACAATAGCCCTATAGATAGGCAATAGCCCTACTTATCTAGAGCTGTGTTGGGGTAAGGTTACTTTCCCTGAAGGAACTAAGATGTTGTGGTCTAGGCCTCCTTCCCTGTGAAGGTTCTCCAATGAAGAACTTGAAAGGGCATGGTTTAATTTTTTTCAGGAGAATATATTTTGTAAATGAACTTGGCTCTCTCCCCATTAATCTTTCTAGTAATCTCACAGGTGACCTTTTTAAAATGTAGTCTTTACTGCTCTTCTGCTTTGCTTAGAGCGCAATTAACTTGAATATTTTATTATTAACTTTATGCATTAGTTTTAGCATTTGAGTAATTTGTGCTTAAGGTCCTAGGTATTTCTGTTCTTCTTAGATGTGGGAGTGAGATTTGGCTTTGGCCAGTTTATTTTAATTGCCTTTTTTGTGCAATCAAAGGGATTATTAGTCCAGGGAAATTTTGATTCAGATGTTACTACCTTGCTAGACATCTAAAGTACTGACTTATCTTTGTAACTTTACTTAAATATTTTTTACTTCATGTAATTATTATAATACTTAATTATATAAATATTGTTTTACTTCATGAAGATATTTAAAATATCTCTTTTAAGTTATACTGTTCAACATTTTAATTATTTCAGCCGTTGTGGAGAATTTTCATTCTCAACTATTTACTTCCATACTCAGTGGAGACTGAATTGTTGGCAACTTTTTTTTTTTCTTTCAGTTTTTTGTTTTGTTTTTTCTTATCCTTTTTTTTCTAAATTTTTTCTCTTCTTTTTAAAAAAAATCATTTTATTGAAGACTCGTACAATGCTTATCACAATCCATACATTCATCCATTGTGTCAAGCACATTTATACATTTGTTGCTCTCTTCATTCTCAAAACATTTGCTCTCCACGTATACCCCTGGCATCAGCTCCTTATTTCCCCCCTCCCTCCCCGCTCCCCCCTCCCTTATGAACCCTTGATCATTTATAAACTATTATTATTTTGTCATGTCCTACACCGTTCGATGTCTCCCATCACCTACTTTTCTGTTGTCTGTCCCCCAGAGAGGAGGTTGTATGTAGATCCTTGTAATCAATCCGTTCCCCCTTTCTACCCCACCCTCCCTCCACCCTCCTGGTATCGCCACTCTGACCACTGGCCCTGAGGCCTTCATCCGTCCTGGATTCCCTATTTCTGGTTCCTATCTGTACCAGTGTACATCCTCTGGTCTGGCTGGATTTGTAAGGTAGAATTGGGATTATGATAGTCGGGGTAGGGGAGGGAGGAAGCATTTAAGAACTAGAGGAAAGTTGTACGTTTCATCATTGCTACACTGCACCCTGACTGGCTCATCTCATCCCTGCGACCCTTCTGTAAGGGGATGTCCAGATGCCCACAGATGGGCTTTGGGTCCCCACTCTGCACTCCCCGTCATTCACAATGATAGGATTTTTTGTCCCTTGATGCCTGATGTGTTGGCAACTTTTAAAATGTGTGTGTGTACCCCATTACCACCATCGAATGAAGTTATCCCTTCTCTTTCCAGCTCAGACTTGAATTTCCAGTCACTAAAGTTTTCAGTATGTATTAGAAATGAGAAATAAGATCATCATTTCTTGTTTCTGTTTCCAGTTCTCTGGGAAGAAATGTAGACGGTTTCCTTTCTTTCTCCAGGGAAAATAATAAACACACAATCTTGAGATTCTGTAACATGTACCTTGGAAATTAACAGTTCCTTTCTGTTACACTCATTTATCTTTCCAGGTGATGCCAGAACTTTCTGGATGGAGCTGGAAGATGGTGGAAAAGTGGACTTTATATTTGAGCAAGTGCAAAATGTGCTGCAGTCACTGAAACAAAAAATTAAAGATGGGTCTGCCACAAATAAAGGTATATAAAGCACTAAAAGCTTTCATTCTGCACTGAATTTTGCCCACTGGAAATAAGTATTATCCTGTTTCCAGTATTGGTGGTTATAATTTTTTAAGTAAAATATTTATTTTCGGAGAAACACATGTTCTAATAACTTTTCATTGTGCTCTGCTTCTATAAAAATTTTCTTGTACTATACCATGGACATTTTGTAAAGTGAGTGATAGGTTACTCATGAATGATAGCTACTAAATTTATCTTGTTCTTAGGCTACATTTCCCACTTTTTAAAAATCTTTTCCTCCTGTGTAGTATTTTTGTAGGGGTGGCATGGGAGTGAGTGGAAGTTTGCAAGAGTGATCCTTGCTCATAGCCTAGTATTTGGTGAATAAAGAAAAATATAAAAAAGAAAAATGCCCATTATCCATCATTTACTATAGTTTTTTAAAAATACATAAGCATGCGTATAACTAATTTGCCTGCTTTAAACAACTTGCACTATTATTCTACTGAAAATAAAGCTTTTGTTCTGTGCCAGCCATTCACATATGTTTGTATGGTTGGTTGTTTTTTGGGGCTTTTTTTTAATTAAATACTTTTATGAAGGGCTCTTACATCTCTTATCACAATCCACACAATCATCCATTGTGTAAAGCACATTTGTACATGTGCTGCCATCATTTTGAAAGCATTTTCTTTCTACTTGGACCCTTGATATCAGCTCCTCATTTCCCTCTCCCCCCCCCTCAGGAACCCTTGATAAGTTATAGATTATTATTTTCATATCTTACATCGTCCTCTGTTGCCCTTCACCCACTTTTCTGTTGTCCGTTCCCCTGGGAGGGGGTTATATGTTGATCCTTGTGATCTATCCCCCGCCGCCCCCCACCTTTCCCTTATCTTCTTGGTATCTCTTCTCATTGTTGACCCTGAGGGGTTTATCTCTTCTGGATGCCCTGTGTTGCGGGCTCTTTCCTCTCTGTAGCAGTGTGCATGTTCTGCTCTACTCTGATTTGTAAGGTAGAACTGAGGTGATAGTTGGGCTGGGGGGGGGCGAGCATTGACGAACTAGAGGAAAGTTGTGTGTTTCATCGGTGTTATACTGCACCCTGACTGGCTCATCTATTCCTTGTGTCCAATTGTCTACAGATGGGCTTTGGGTCTCGACCCCAGATCCATCCCCCCACCCCCGTTGGTTGGTTTGTTACCGTCACCACCCCTCTTTCTTTCATTGTCTTCCTCTCTGGTTAGTTGTAGAACATAGACTTTAATGGGGTCCTCTCCTTCAGCACAAGAGAACACGTTGCCCCCCCACCCAGGCAATTCTTGATGGGACTGGACTTGCTAAGCACGAGTTCAGCAGCTTGAACCCCAGCTGCTCGGCAGGAGAAAGACGGGACTTTCTGCTCCTAGAAAGGTTTCCAATTTTGGAAATCCACACGGGCAGTTCTGTTCTGTTCTGTAGAGTCACTATAAATCTGAACCAGTTAGATGACAGTGGGGTTTGGGTGGGTTGTTTTTGTTTTTTGGGGGGAGGGGGGCTGGTTACTTTATTCTAAACTCCTAGATAGCACAAGTTTACTATAGTGCTAACTTAAAAGAATGGCAGTCCAAGCCCACTCAACAGTACAATGGGAAAAAAGCCTGCCAGTATGCTTCCATTACTAAGATTACAGTCCAGAAAAACAAAGAACAGTTCTATTTTATTTGGGGTTGTAACATATGGGGTTGCCATGATTCAGAATTAACTGAGAAGAATAACATTCTTGGTGCTGTTATAACATCAATGTATAGTTAACCTTGGAACAATACAGGTTTTTAACTATGCAGGTCCATTTATACGTGTATTTTTCTTCCCTGTGGCTAGTGCAATGAGCTCAAGTGTTGCCAGTATCTACTTAAAGCACTGTGTAATAATAATTGATGTAGTCCCCCGCCTTTTAAGCTAACACAACACTTGAGCTACGCACTACACTGGCAACATGGGAGAAATCCTTAGTCTAAGTGAATCCATGCAGTTCAAATCCATGTTGTTCAAAGGTCAAAGGTATTATGTTTGTCCAAAAAAATGGTGCTATTTTTACATGTTAATTGACCTTCTCAATCCTTTAGGAGTAAGTTATGTATATAGACCTGAATTTGGTACTACCACTTCTTGGCCATATAAAATAAGTAACTCCATTTCTTTATCTCCAATGTGTGTATAATCCTAGGAATATCACAGGAAGATTAGATGAGATGAAGTAGAGAAGTTTTTTGACACAGTGGCTAGCACCACATATTAAAGCGGTTACCATTCTTTCCTTAACAGAATATATCCAAGCAATGATTCTGGTGAATCAAGCAACTCTAAATAATAACTCAACATTGATAAAAGGTAGGGAAATTTTTATTTCTCAAATAATAATTTCCTTGACATATATCTTACTCATTCCCATATATCCCTTCCCTTCCCATACAGTTCTGTTATTCAATCCCATTGGGTGGGGCTATACAATCATTAATGCTATCAACATCCCTCTCCCTACTTCTTCCCCCGCCCCCCACCTCCCGTACCCTCCAGGAACTGTTACTCCTCTCGGTGTCTCTGAGGGGTCATCTATCTTGACTGCCATGTACCAAGTGATCTTAAATGAACAAATGAACATACACAAGTCTAACAGGACCAATGAGGTATATCACGTACAGACCATAGTCAGGGGAGAAAATCCTGAAAGACTAAAGAAAGTTATGTGGTTCCTCAGCACCACACTACACCCTGGATTTATCCTCCGTTCCGTTAGGCCCTACTAAGAGGGATTGTCCAGTTGTCTTGCAGGTGGACTAGGTCTCCACTAAATCTAGCCCCCTTCCTATCGATTTGGATGTGTGTTTTTTTTAACTTGCCATACCTCTTCCTGTCAACACCTCATGATCACACAGGCTGGTGTGCTTCGATGTGGGCTTTGTTGCTTCCCTGCTAGATGGCCACTTGTTTAACTCTAAGCCTTTAAGATTCCAGACTCTGTAGCTTTTAATAGCCAGGCAGATAGGTACAATTCCAATACCAGTCTCTGGTATTTTCTTGCCTTGAATCAAGCCAGCCTTAATTTGTCAGGTTAACTAAAGATAATTAAAATAAAATATAAAACCACACTGCTAAGCTGTAACAGCATACATTTCCCAGGAAGAGAATGAACAAGCTTCTGTCTTCTCTAAAAAGCCTTTTTTTTTTTCTCATATAAGGAGGGTGCTTATAATGCTAAAACTTGAAAGGACCGTATGCCTCTTTGGTGAAGAACAATATTAGAAAGATATTGTGGTATGGACGCATTAGTAATTTTTTTTTTTTTAGGTCATTAGAAAACCATCAACCTTCCAAATTCAAGAAAAAGAAAAATTGGGGTGTTATTTTATCAGAATCATCATCCATAAATGCTAGTCTATTGGTAGTTTGCTAAAATACACTTTTTCAATTTTAATTAATACTATTGTCAACAAATTTTATTTTTCAGTTTACAGTCCATACTTTATAACAGTGGATCTCAACCTTCCTAATGCTGCGACCCTTTAATACATACAGTTCCTCATGTTGTGGTGACCCCAACCACAAAATTATTTTTGTTGCTACTTCATCACTGTAATTTTGCTACTGTTATGAATCATAATGTAGATAGCTGATATGCAGGATGATTTTCATTGTTACAAATTGAATATAATTAAAGCATAGTGATTAATAACAAAAACAATGTAATTATATATTGTGAAATATTTATTTATTTCTAATTACAAATAATTGAAATTTTGTCCTGACTGCATGTGGGCAGACCCGCCTGGAGAGGACAGAGGAGCGGTATCTCGGTTCCTAAGACCATCAGAAATAGGTGTTTTCTGATGGTCTCAGGTGACCCCTGGGAAAGGGTCATTCGACCCCCAAAGGGGTTGTGACCCACAGGTTGAGAACCACTGCGTGTGGAGCCTTACAGCCTTGAATCTCTGTTAACATAGCCTAGCATCTCTAGTCTATTTTAAAGAACTCTTTTGCTATTCAAAAGTATTCTCAATTTTATCAGCTAGTATAATTTTGAAGATTAGATTCTTAAAGCAAATCACCCTTTACCTTTCACTGTTAGTTGGAATCTACACACCCTTAAGGAATACATTAGCTTTGCAAGTGAGGTGCTTTTGAATGCAACAGTTGATAATAATGAACTCGTTTTATTTTTATTTATTTTTTTATGGACTCATTTTAAAATAGCCATTTTTCTTTTTTGAAGCTTCCTATCTTCCACTAAAAGAAAGTTGGAATTTTCTTTTTTCAACTTTTACAGCAATAATTTCATTAATATAAATGCTAAATATTATAGTTTTGTATTTTTAATTTTTTTGTTCATTCATCAGTAATGTATCAAAATTTGTGATGTTATAATTTCATATTTTAAATAATTTGTTTCATTCTTCTGAAATATAATTTGTTGAAATTTATATGTTTTAAAGTAAATAGACTTATATAGTTGGCATATGTGAATAATAAAAACTTTCTATTAATAGAGAGCCATGTTAGTATTTATGTTTCAAAAATATCTGAGACTGAAAGATACAAAAGAACTTAAAGTTAAAAAAAGCAAGCAGCACACCAACATGTGTGATCATGAAGGGCCGAAGGGACTAGGCTTCAAGCACCAAAGGCCGGGGAGGGGAAAAAAAATCATACCATCGTCAATGAGGGTGGCGTGTAATGGAGACCCAATTCCCATCTGTAGACAACTGGACATACCTCGCAGAGGGGTAGTGGGGAAGAGATGAGTCACTTAGGGTTCAGTATAGCAATAATGAAACTCACAACCTCCCTCTAGTTCTTAAACGCTTCCTCCCCTCAACTACCATGATCCCAATTCTACCTTGCAAACCTGGTTAGACCAGAGGATGCACAGCGGTACAGATGGGAACTGGAACCACAGGGAATCCAGGACAGATGAACCCCTCAGGTCCAGCGGTGAGAGTGACGATACCAGGAGGGAAGGCGGGGAGTAGAAAGGGGGAACCAATCACAAGGATCTACATATAACCTCCTCTCTGGGGGATGGGCAACAGAAAAGTGGGTGAAGGGAGACGCCGGGCAGTGTAAGATAAAATATAATAATAATTTATAAATTAAGGGTTCATGAGGGAGGGTGGGGGAGGGGAAAAAGGAAAATGAGCTAATTCCAGGAACCCAAGAGGAAAGCGAATTTTGAGAATGATAAGGGCAACAAATGTATAAGTTTGCTTCACACAGTTGTTGTGTGTATTGTGATGAATTGTATGAGCCCCAATAAAATGATTTTTTTAAAAAAAGCCACCCCAAATCCAGTATGGACTCCGCAGGCTGCGATCAAACCACTAATCACCTTTATCTTCCTAGCTTATATATAACTCTAAATAGGAGGAGGGCTTCAAAGAGTTGCTGGGGAAAATGGAATTAAAAGATAAGGAATTATTTCCATAAACTTTTGAAGTCCCTTTGTATTTGCTATGCTCTCATCAAAAGGATCAGGTACTTTCTTCTTGAGCAAACTTCTTTTTTCCTCCCTATCTTACTTTTTAAAAAAAATAAGACTGGTCTGTACATAAAGACTACTGCAAGATAAGAATCTAAAGCAGTACAAGAATCACTCATAAATTCCATCAGTACATAAGGAAAGAGTCAGCATGTTAAAAATCTGTAATTTTTTTTTTGTTTGTTAATCATTTTATTGGGGGCTCGTACAACTCTTATCACAATCCATACATACATACATCCATTGTGTCAGGCACATTTGTACATTTATTGCCATCATCATTCTCAAAATATTTGTTTTCTATTTGAGCCCTTGGTATCAGCTCCTCATTTTTTCCCCTCCCAGCTTTCTTCCTCATGAGCCCTTGATAACTTATAAATTATTATTATTTTGTCATGTCTTACACTGTCCAACATCTCCCCTCACCCACTTTATTATTTTTAAGGCAACAATATTGCACTGTGATTCATAATATCTGCATTTTAAAAATAAGAACAAGAATCTAGCATTTCCTTTAAATACAACAATTTTATAAATTGTAGTCAATAAGAATAGATGAGGGGGAACTGATTATAGGGATCTACATATAGCCTTCTCCCTGGGGGATGGACAGCAGAAAGATGGGTGAGGGGAGAGGCCAGACGGGTTAAGATATGACAAAGGAATGATTTGTAAACTGTCAAGAGTTCATGAAGTTGGGGGGAACGGGAAGTGGGGGGGACGAAGAGGAGCTGATATCAAGGGCTCAGGTAGAAAGAAGACGTTTTGAGAAAGATGATGGCAACAAATGTACAAGTGTGCTTGACACAATGGATGGCTATATGGATTGTGAAAGGAATTGTGCAAGGCCCCAATAAAATGATTGAAAAAAAGAAAAAAGCCGATACCAAGGGCTCAAGCAGAAAGAAAATGTTTTGAAAATGATGATGGCAACATATATACAAATGTGTTTGATACAATTGATGTATGGATTGCTATAAGAACTGTAAGAGTCCCCAATAAAATTATTTATTAATAAAAGAAAAAAAAGCATAGATGAAATATTTAACAGAAGAAGAAACAAAATTAAATACAGAAGGATATAGGCAAAACTAAAGGAAAGCTGAAATAACACATAGATAAAAAGAGGTATCCTAATGCCTAACCATAAAAATTTTGACTAAGAAAAACACATAAACTTTACAATTGGTGGGGTTTTTTGAATATGATTTTTAAGACATATTTCCGAAAAATAGGGGCAGCTATTTTCCTTGACAGTTGATTAACATATAGATGAAAGTCCAGGCCAAACTGTTGGTTCTCCAGTAGAAATCTCTCCCGTCCTCATTTTACTTTATCTTATCTTAGTCTATTACGGTTTTTGAAACTACAATAATGACATGTAATCCTTTTGTTTGGTCCTGAAATTTTTTTTTAATTTATTGGGGACTCTACATCTCTTCACAATCCATACATCCCTCCAGTGTGTCAAGCACATTTGCACATATGCCGCCATCATCATGTTCAAAGCATTCTCTTCCCTCTTGAGCCCCTGATATCAGCTCCCCTTTTCTTCCGCCTCCTTCCCCCGCCCTCCCTCACGAATCCTTGATAAGTTATAGATCAGTATTTCCATATCTTACATCGTCCTCCATCACCCCTCACTCACTTTTCTCTTATTTGTCCCCTTGTGAGGGGGTTATAGGTTGATCTTTGTGATCGATTCCCGCTTCCTCCCCCCACCCTCCCCTAGGTCCTGAAATCTTAATGTGTTCACTGATGAGTATTTGAATATTACAGTGAGTGACTTTGAACTTGATAAACTTGTTTCTCGTACTTTTTCCCCCCATATAGATGATACAGCTGTGACCCAGAATGAACAGGAGAACAAATCAAGTTCATTGTCTTCTACATCCTGTCAACACTCCTTTCCAGAAGACTCTACATTGCTGTGTGTATATATGGAATTTATGTTGTTAGTGCTTTGCTCTTTAAAGATAGTTATTCAGTCATTTTACATTCTAAACGTACTGCCATCTAGTCAAATCCCAACTCAGAGTGACTGTATAGGACTGAGTAGAACTGCTCTTGGGGATTCCAAGGCTTTAGCTCTTTATAGGAACACACAGCCTCATTTTCTTCTGCAGAGTGTCCGGTGTGTTAAAACCACTGGCCTTGTGGTTAGCAGCTCAACACTTAACCCACTGCGCCACCAGAACGCCTCTTTTACATTAGCATGGATAGAATGTATAAAAAGATTCTTTCCCATCAAAAAAAATTTTAATTGTAAATTTTGAACAGAAAATCTTATCATAGTGAATGATGGGGGGAGTGCGGAGTGGAGACCCAAAGCCCATTTGTAGGCCACTGGACATCCCCTTACAGAAGGGTCTCAGCCAGTCCTTTAGTTCCTTAAATGCTTCCTCTTCCCCGCACCCCCCCCCCCATCATGATCCCAATTCTACCTTACACATCTGGCTAGACCAGAGGATGTACACTGGTACAGACAGGAAATGGAAATGCAGGGAATCCAGGGTGGATAATCCCTTCAGGACCAGTGAGGGTGGGTTGGAAAGGGGGAACCGATTACAAGGATCTACATGTGACCTCCCTGGGGGGGCGGACAACAGAAAAGTGGGTGAAGAGAGATGTCGGACAGGGCAAGATGTGACAAAATAATAATTTATAAATTATTAACGGTTCAGGAAGGGGAAAAATATGAGCTGATGCCAGGGGCTTAGGTGGAGAGCAAATGTTTTGAGAATGATGAGGCCAATGAATGTGCAAATGTGCTTTACACAATTGATGTATGTATGGATTATGTTAAGAGTTGTATGAGCCCCTAATAAACTGATTTTAAAAATGGTAAATTTTAGTGTTTCATACTTAAAAGTTCATGAGTCCCTTAATAGGCTTCTTAATATTCCTAAATAATTAAGCCTTTTTCTAAAATTTAGGAAACACTGGTGCCATAGTGGCCTGTCTGCTGAGCTGCTAACCATGAAGTCAGCATTTTAAACCCACCAGCTCCTCCACAGGAGAACGATGAGGCTGTGTGCTCCCATAAACATCTAAAGTCTCAGAACCCTAAAGGGGCAGTTCCACCCCGTCCTGTCGGATCGCTATGTGTCGGAATCAGTGCAGTGGCAGTGAGTTTTTTTCTAAAACTTAAGATAAGCCATATGTTAATATGCACTGAAATCTACTAAATTAGCTATTTTTTTCCAACTAGGAAATTATTTTCCTGGACTTCCATCTCTCACCCCTACCACCTTTGGAGGATTGGAGTATTAAAAAGATCCAAAGTATATCTGTCAGTACCAGTTCAGTTTTTATCATGTGTAACAATTCTAACATACCCTGTTTCCCCAAAAGTAAGACAGTGTCATTAATTTTTGCTTCCAAAGATGTGCTAGGTCTTATTTTCAGGGGATGTCTTATTTTTCCATGAAGAAGAATATGGTACACGTTTATTGTTTTATTAAAAGAGACCTCGCACTTCCTGTCTGCTCCAGCTGTGTGGCAACGCCCGCCGCTATGGTCTAGAGTCCAGAGTTACGGTAGCTTGGGGGTGTGTGTGCTTATTTTCAGGGGGGATGCCTTATATTTCAGTGAGAGGCAAAACTGTAAGTGGGTCTTATTTTCGGGGGTGTCTTATTTTTGGGGAAACGGGGTAGTAACTGAAAATAGACTAAAATTTCCTGGTCTTTCCTTTCTCCTTTCCCACAAATATCAGCAAAGATTAATCCTCACAAAGAAGAATTACTTAAAAAAGGAATGTAACACTTAATCTTTGTTTATTTTTAATAGGAAATGTCTGTACCAGAACCATTCGAGTACTATGGAATATAATTCCAACGCTGTTTAAAACTACTCAAATAGATCGACGTTGTTAAGGAAAACATAACCCTACTGTATTTTTCCCTCCTTTCTTTCTCTTTTCACGTTTAGTTCCCTGGCTGATGTTTCATTGTAGATCTCAGGTAGCGGTTGATTTATATTGACGTATTCTCTATGCTCTGGTGTCCTTTGTTGGTACCAACAGTTATGTGCTTGGCTATTGACTGAAAGGTTGGCTATTCAGATTCACCTGGAGACACATTGAACGAAAGCCCTAGAGATGACACAGCTACTGAAGGCCTTACGGAGAGCAGTTCTCCTGTGGAACACACAGGGTTACCACGAGGTTACCACAGGTTACCATGCTAATACATTTATGTAGGGCCTGAATAGGTGCAGACCCCATGGAGAGGATGTTGTCAATGGGAACAAATTCATTAATCCACTGTATCCTGTAGATTACCACTTCTATTTCTAGGAACGTATTCTTTAGTGATGGTCTCACTTGTATGAAATAGTTTTATGATTTGTAATAGTGAAAGATTGAAAAGAGCAGGGATTTCTTTTGTATGCCTTTATTAATCATGGTGTTTATTGGTTCAAGTTTGAGGATTTTTGTTTTTTTGTCTTTTTTAAGAAGCAGTTATGGAAAAAATTACAAACATTTGAAAAAGACGTTAGGAAGCTACGTAGTTTTTGTGGCCTGTGTCCACTAACCATGTGTAGTGATGTAAATTTGAATTATTTAGAATTACATTTTTTTTAATTGCATCCTTTGATTACACTCAGAGAAAACAAACTAACTGCCTTTGATGCAGTGCTGACTCAGCGGTCCCCGGTGGTCCCCCAGACTGTAACTGTTGATGGGTGTAGAAAGCTCAGTCTCTCTCCCGAAGATCTGCTCTTGGTTTCAAATTGCCAACCGTGCAGATCACAGCCCAAGATGTAACCACTCCACCACCAGGGCTCCTCCCGGTTACACTAGCCACAAGTAAAGGTGCTCAATAGCTACATGTGTCTATAGGGCTAATGTGTTGAACAGGACAGATTAGACCTTTCAATTAATATAGAGAATTCTAATAGTGCAACTTTATATAGTAGATGTAAAAATAACTCAAATCCCTCTTTATAATAAGTAGTGGATACCTAATGATAGAAAACACAAGATTCAGTTCTTAGTGGAACTTTAAAATCTGACTTCCAAAAATATGGTATCTTCTCATGATTTTTTTCCCCTTGAAATCAACAGACACTCCATTTTATATCGTCATTTTGTCATTGTTTTCAAATGTGTCATGTTGCAAATGGGTTACATGTTATGGAAAATAATTGGAAAATACTCAACATGAAGGGTTCTTGATGACTTTGATTTTGTACAAAAAGCTTTAACTAAGCATGCTTGACTATGTAATGTTCCCCAGCTCTTTGTTTAGTTTACAGTCTCAATGCAAATAAGCTCTACATTTCCTCAGTGTTGTGAAACACCATCACAAAATTACAGCTTTAACTGCGGCTTTCTGAAGTATTTATTCTACACTTAGATACCTTTATATGGCTACAGAATACAGTAAAATTTCAAAGCTGGCTTTTTGATATCTAAAAAGAATGGAATAGAGATTGATGGCTACCTCAGTGTTCAGGGGTTTTTTTTATGGAGAACTGTACTAATTATTAATATTAATGAAAATTAATCTTTACAGATCTGCAGAAAATAAGGAAATTCTTCCTTTAGAAAATAAAGGTGCAGAAGACGTGAAGGAGAAAGCGTCATCTTGGAATGTATCTTACCAGAGACATGTCTGCTCTGGGGCTTGTCTGATCAAAATGCCATTCACCTCCAAGGGAGGAAACCCTCTACAGCTACCGATTCAATGCCACTTCCAGAGACTGCACTCTAAGACAAACTCTCATTCCACAGCACTCCACGTGAGTTACAAAACCCCTTGTGGAAGGATTCTGCGAAACATGAAGGAAGTGTTCCGTTACCTGATTGAGACAGAGTGTAACTTTTTGTTTACAGATAACTTTTCTTTCAATACCTATGTTCAGTTGACTCGGAATTATGAAAAGCAAGAAGTTATTTCTGATGTTGATATTAGCAATGGAGTGGAATCAGTGCCTATTTCCTTCTGTAATGACATCGACAATAGAAAGCTGCCCCATTTTAAGTACAGAAAAACTATGTGGCCACGAACATATTACCTAAGCAGCTTTTCCGACATGTTTACTGACTCCTGTGACTGTGCTGAGGGCTGCATAGATATGTAAGTAGAAAAGCTGGGATTTCACTGCATCTGAATACAGTCCAACAAACATTTAAATCACTCGGAGACTGGGGGCTTTGGAAGGCTGGGTTAGCCCAAAAGGGACACTTGAGGAAGGCGGTAAATCCCAAATGCTCCAGAAGTACAGGATGCGAGAGCTCATGTTACAAAACCTACTGTGTGGTAAGAAGGGACCGCAGCGTGAATGCACATTTAAATATATTATGGGGGGGTACCCCCAAAAAACAACTCTGGGCGGGGCTTTCATAAAATGCATTTTTCCCACTAGGTGAGCATGAGCAGCTCGCTCTTGAGTTAGTGCACCCAGTGGTGTCACCTGGGAAGGTTCTCTCTGGTCACAGGGCGTTTTTCCTTCAAAGTGGTTTCGCTCAGATCTCATTTTATGCTATGGCTGATTTAAGAGAACAGCACGCAGCTGTGAAATTTTCTTTCCTGCTTGGGAAAAATGCCGCAGAAACCGTTGTGATGTTGAGCACAGCTTACAAGGACAGCACTATGGGGAAAACCCAAAAGTACAAGTGGTTTTCTCGCTTCAAAAAAGGTGAAATGTCAATTGATGACAAACCTTGTTCTGAAAGCCTGTCAGCTTCCTGAATGGATGACAATGTCGACTAGGAGTACGTTTGGACTTCCACCAGGTTAATCAGGCTATCTATTTAAACGTTCTGAAAAGATAGCTAACAGCGTGCGACAAAAAAGGCTTGATTTGTGGCAGATGGAGGGCTGATTTTGCCCCCACGACAGTGCACTTGCTCACGCACCCATCTCACTGCACCAGTTTGAGGCAAAAACCAGCATGCCTCTCTTGCCCTGTGCACCTTACTTACCTGAGCTCACTCCGTTCAACTTTTTTCTTTCTGTGAATGAAGAGGGTCATGAAGGGACAGATATTTGATGACAGATGAGTTAGAAAATGTTTCTAAGAATGGAATCACTGAATTGACAAATGTATTAAGTGTAATGGAGAGTACTTTGACGGTAATAAGGTTGTTTTGTAAAAAAAAAAAAAAAAAATTAAATAGCTTTGGGGGAAAAGTTCCATTTTGGGGGGTTCCCCCTCATATGACGCAACTAAAAAACAGCATGAAGAATAAATCTCAAAAGGCATTATTAGCTAGAAAAGAGATATTCCCTACAAAGACAGGTAGGTGGGCAGTATACTTTTTATCAGAAATAGTAGAAATGCTGAAGGAAAATAAATGTGAAACGAGAATTTTAAACCCAACCAGACTTTGAGTGGGGTGAGGGAGCGGGGTAGCAGGGCAGTAGGGTACAGGGTGAGCCAGGAAAGAAAACCAGTACACTGGACTTGAAGACCTGTACCTAAGGAGGCCTGGTGGTCTAATGAACTAGGATAGTCCACAGTTTGACTAATGATACAGTCCACAGGAAAAAGATAAGGCGCTGCCCTCCCAAAGATTACAGCCTTCAGAAGTTCCGCTCTGTTCTGAGGGTCACTGTGAGTACATGCTCGATGGTAGTTGACTCAATTTGTTGGTTTGTGCACTTTTTAGCAACAGGACTTCCGAGCATAGCTGGAGCAGAAGCTTGCTTTCCAAACGATAGACTTAGTAGGATACAAAATTGGTTTAATGGGTTGTAACTTGCTTCTTTTTAAAAAAAAAAGAAAAAAATGACCCAGTACTTAACACAGAATAAGGATAAAGTTTCATGACCCTGTTTTTCAGTTGATATGCATACACATATTTATGTGCATGTAGGAAATGTTTTTCATACTATACTTCATCATCAAAAATATGTGAGAACCATTACTCTAGAGGTACTCACACATATTCATAGACAAAGAATATACAGTGCAGCATTTGCTAAATAACTAGAAGCCACCTAATTATCCCTGAAGTAAATGCTAACTACTACAGAAGAGTTCAAAGGAATTAATCAGATGTATGCACAAGATCATTGATAGATTTCAAGACGATTAACCCAAGCAAACTCGCTGCCGTCAAATCAGTTAAGACTGACAGCAACCCTGTAGGACAGGGTGGAAGTGCCCTGATGAGTTCCCGAGCCTGTAACTCTTTACAGGAGTAGAAATTGAACAAAAGAAGCAAGTCATGGAATAGTACCTGCAGTGTATTTTTAAATTTGAAAAGCAGTAACAGTATTTTAGTTATTATGGAGAAGTATAAAGCAGTGGTTCTCAACCCTCCTAATGCCGTGATCCTTTAATACAGTTCCTCATATTGTGGTGACTCCCCCAATCATAAAATTAATTTCGTTGCTACTTCATAACTAATTTTGCTATTATGATTTGGGCGACCCCTGTGTAAGGGTTGTTTGCCCCTCCCCCCCAGGGGTCGCTACCCACAGGTTGAGAACTGCTGGTATAAAGGCTACCAAAAGATCATAAATCTCTTGAGCATATACTTTTATCTATAATGTTTTATTAGACCTTGTGTATGGTATATACATTCTAAATTCTGTACATAGGCAAAAGAAGGTCTAGGTGAAATTGCTGGCAGCTAATTTTGGTTGGGGGAAAATTTGGTGTCTGTTATATTGGTCTTTTCCTGTACTTTTAAAACAAACTTTGCAAATAAAATCATATGGAACATAATACCACAGATTTTTAATCTGCAGAAGGAGCCCAGATTAAGTTTGATTCCCTATCCCCCATCCCTATCGCCAGCAGTAGCCACTGCTCTATGACATACTGCGTGTACATTGAAAAGAATACTACATATTGAAAATCACAGTAGAAAGTAATTTAAGATCTCTTGTTCAACAAAGGAGCCTAAGATCCAAAGAGGTTAATAAACTAGTTCACGAGTACAGCCAGTCACAAATGAAATTTATAGCTGAGATGCCCAGGCCCCTTACGTCCTAGCAAGTTAAAAATATCTGTCAAGATTCCCCTTACAGACGGGTCGCGGGGAGGAGACGATCCAGTCAGGGTGCCGTGTAGCAACAATGAAAAATAATACAACTTTCCTACAGTTCTTAAATTCTTCCTCACCGCTACTATCATGATCCCAATTCTACCTTACAAATCCAGCTAGACCAGAGGATGTACACTGGTACTGATAGGAACTGGGAACACAGGGAATCCAGGGCGGATGATCCCTTCAGGACCAGTGGTAAGAGTGGATACCGGGAGGGTGGAGGGAGCGTGGGGTGGAAAGGGGGAACTGATTGATTACAAGGATCTACATATAACCTCCTTGAACAACAGAAACGTGGGTGAAGGGAGACGTTGGACAGTGGAAGACATGACAAAATATTAATTTATAAACTACCACGAGGTCATGGGAAGGGGAATGAGCCTGATACCAAGGGCTCAAGTAGAAAGCAAATGTTTTGAGAATGATGAAGGCAATAAATGTACAAATGTGGTTGACACAATGGATGGATGTATGGATTGTGATAATTATGAACCCCCAGTAAAATGATCTGTCAAGATAAAGAATTATCTAAATATACATAAGTAAAAACACGCAGAGGTAAAAAAAAAAAAAAGCATAGATTAAATGTCTGGTTGCAAGTTGCCCCACCTAGCAACATTATGAAAAATGAGTTCTAGTAGTTGGGTCCCCAGCAATCAAAGATCAGTTAAGACATCTCCAAAACGGCCATGGGGAATTTGATGTGTGTATGATGGTGTAAGGACACCAGGCAAGCTGTACTAAGGTTTTCAGAAACAGTTTCTACTGGACAGAAAGAATACCTTTTGTCAAGTTACAATTCTTTCATGAGCAAATACAGTACAGTGCAGCTTATACTTATTTATAAACGTTTGGTAGGTGTCTCTTCTAAGAGTATATTCTATTTCAGAAAGCTATCCATACTGTCCATGAGGCAAAGAGCCATTCTCAGTGCACAGGCATCCATTTACACTACCTTCAGGAGCGTCTCTGGGTGCTTTTCTATTCTGATCTCCCCGTCCATTATCTTCTTTGTAGAGCAAAATGTGCGTGTCTCCAACTGACAGCCAGGAATGCTAAATCTCGTACTTTGTCAAGTGATCCCATACCCACTGGCTATAAATATAGAAGGCTACAGAGACAAGTACCTACGGGGTAAGCTACCTACGTTTGTCTCTTTGAAGGGGGCTACTTTTTCACGTGGCCTACAGTCTTTCCAACGTGTTAAATCATTTTCTCCGACCCAAAACCTAAACGACTGAGCAGCCAAAAGCTGTCTTTTTCTTGGAAGTCAAGGTCACACGCAGTCTAGCGTGCCCATACACGCTTTAACCTTTGGCAGATATTTCCCCAAGAAGACGTCCGTTTTGAGATGGTGATCCACAACGAAAACCCCCTTTTGATAACAGGGATAGAAACTTACCGCCCCTCGATATTTTCCTTGGTGAGGAGCTGGCGTTCGCGTCATGCCAAGCCTGTGCCTCTTTGTAAATACCGTCACCAGAATGAAGGGGGCTGGGGGTCCAGGTCCCCATCTCTGGGTTCTTGTCATCCTCGGAGAAAGGATTCAGGGGAGAGACAGGAAAAAGCAAGGGAATGCGTGAATTTATTAAAGAGTTACAGCAGCGTGGAATGTGCCGGTGGACATCCTAGCTGGCTGGGAAATTGAAGATTTTTATACTGCTCATGGCAGACCTTCTGCTACTGAGCGGAAGGTTCAGTGGGCCTTCTGTTATTGGCTGGCTTTCCATCATGTACCGCCCCTTTACAGATGTTGAGCCTGTACCCCAAATTAATGCCATGTCCTTTTGGTCCAGCCTGGCCCCTGGCTAGATTCTTCCTGCCATTCCAAGGGTCAGGTGGGGGTTGGGCATTTATCTTACTCATCTCGGCCTTTGCCTTTTACTGCCCCACCCCACCCTTCCCTTCCCTTCTTGAAAACCATTGATGACAGAAATTAGTCTCTTTGTCCTGGGAATCTGTTAATAAAGGTAACTAATATGCTTTTACCTCTCTGTGCTCGGAATTCCTTTCATTTTTCCCGTTCTTCCTTGTCCTTGGATCTAGCTGGCCTGTCTGTCGATCCATAATGATTCATTTCCGTTGTGTAAAACAACCCTGTGAGGTACATTCTTCAAAGAACTCCCATTTTTACGGTGGGAAACGGAAGTGAAGTAACTCGCCCACTGTCCCACAACTGTGACAGCCTGCGCTCCGAGGGGAATCCGGGCAGTCTAGCTCTAGGAATTCTCCCATGTGGTTTGTTTCTCTTGATGCCGATCCACACCGGTCAAATAGCAATCTGACTTTGTGTCTTGCACTGGGATTATGTGATGGATTTTCTCTTTTGCATATTTGATTGACAGCATTTATGAATGCAGCCTGTTGTGCAAGTGTAGTCGGCACAGGTGTCAGAATCGAGTTGTTCAACGTGGTCCGCAAGTGAGGCTGCAGGTGTTCAAAACTGAAAAGAAGGGGTGGGGAGTACGCTGCCTGGATGACATTGATCGAGGGACATTTATTTGCATTTATTCAGGTAAGCCATCATCCTGTGATAGGACCTTCATTTCTGGGTCCTTGGTTTAGCGTTCAGGACTCCTGATACCTTATAGCAAAGATTGAGCAACAGGGAAGTGACTGGGAACCTGAACACTGAGGGATGAGATACTTCAGGAGATGCCAGAAGGTCCAGAAAACTGGGTTACTGCATGAGGGCCTGTCAGGTAAAGGCAGGCCTGTTTGTCACATGACCACAGATGCTTTAAGGTAAGGGAAGACCTTACCTTAATAGCTAACATACCCAGGTAAAGATGATCAGATCAGACTGCCTTGTTGAATGATTTTACCTAAATTCATATTGTTATAAAATCTGCATGTAGTGATTGAGGCAGTCACAGAAGGCAACACTCTATTTCAGAGATTCCGGAGGAAGTCACAGCTTCAGAGCAGGGCTTCCGCGCCGTGTGTTCTAGTTGTGGGATTACTGATTCTTTCAGGCCAGAGCCCCTGGGCCCGATGTGTTGGGGTCCCATTTACCCTAGAGTGTGTCTCACCCATTTACCATGCAGAAATCCACATTTCAGGATGGGAAACATGGCGCTAGAGTTACTGAAAAGAAATAGGCGAGACAGAATCTGGACAATTAAGCATCAAGGACCAAAAGTAGCCTCACCTGAAATTCTAAGTTCACCCCAGAATTCTGATCTGATCATTTTTACCTGGGCACGTTAGCTATTAAAGTAAGGTTTTCCCTTACCTTAAAGCATCTGTGGTCATGTGACAAACAGGCCTGCCTTTACCTGACAGGCCTGCAAGAAGCAACTGAGAGAATGATCACAATTCAGAGTGGTAACACTCAGTTCTCTACCAAATAGCACCTATCCTGCTGTGAAGTGCTATCAAATTGATTCTGAGTCATAGAAACCCATGTGACTTAGCAGAACTGCCCCCATGGAATTTTCTTGGCTCTTAAGTTTGATAGAAGCAGATTCCCCATCCTGAGTGGATTCAACCCAGCAACCTTTTGGTTATCATTCTAGCTCTTAACTGTTTGTGCCACGGATGCCTGTGTATCTGATTTTTCAAAATAACTCTTAGATGAAATTCAATTGCCTGACTAAAGGAACTGAAATTCTCCTTTGTACTCGAGCTGAAACCTAGTGTGAGCAGACACACAAGACGACAATCCCAAGGTCAAGGACTTTGAAATCATTGGACTTTGTACAAATCTATGTTGCTTTTGAGGTTGCCCAATAATTGGCAACTTGGAACTGCCCTGTATTTGTTATTTTCATATGTTTCTTTACTTTTTGTAACGTCTTAGTTCAAATGGTTTTGCATCAGTGAATGAGTGTTATAGAAATTGTTTCCTTGTGTCTAACCCTCAGTTTTCTTTTTTTTTTTGCATATTAATATTAATGTGTATTTATTAACTGTATATTTAACACTAAATGTAAAATACACTTTGTTTATGCTCTCTTTTTTTTTAAACATTTTATTAGGGGCTCATACAACTGTTATCGCAATCCATACACACATCAATTGTGTAAAGCGCATTTGTACATCATTCTCAAAACATTTTCTCTCCACTTAAACCCCCGACATTAGGTCCTCATTTTCCCCCTCCCTCCCCGCTCCCCCCTCCCTCATGAGCCCTTGATAGTTTATAAATTGTTATTTTGTCATATCTTGCCCTGACCCTCAGTTTTCTTAAGCAGCGTACTGTCACTTAAATTTTCTAATCTGTATAATTGAATCTTTCGCATAATTTAGTCTAAAAGACTTTCCTATAAATGTAGTTTCCTTTTCTCACTAGAATTTTAAATTCTATACTATTAACTATATTAATAGTATTATTACTTGAATTGCCAGATATCCTATAAAGATTACTTATATTATTTCTCAAAAAGTTGATATGCTGCCTCTGAACAGGACCCAAAATCTATGTAAACCTTAGATGTATGAAAGGGTTGGGAGCTCTACACTCAATCATAAGCCCAATCCAAGAACAATCAGTCCTGAAGATATGGCCCTCCTGAACAATTACCTTTATGAAGATGGGGGGTTATGGCAAAGTGTGGTGAAGAAGTCTCAGGTGGTGGTATCAGCAAAAATAGTGTATGAAGTCTTAGGGCTTGTCACCAACAAGCAGTCTTCTAAGTGAGGTGTCAGATCCATCCCCACAGATGTATCACATCGGCCTGTGTGAGAAAAGGAGTTTAAGTCCCTGAATTTCCTTTGGAGACCATCATGACCTTGTGCTAATGGTCTCTCTCCTGCTGATGGTCTTTCTCTCTGTCTTGATTAAAACTTCATAACTGTTCTCCTTAAATGAAAGAGAAAGAAAAAAGTTAGTCAGCTTCATGTACAGTGCCAGAAGCTGTCCAGGAAGTATCTCTGACGTCATCTGCACTGTTACCAAAAAGGCACTTCACCTGTTTCTCTGGCCTTCATGACCTGTGAGAGCAGCCAGTTGCTGATTTTAACTTGTTAACTGTCATTTTGACCCCTTAAAGGAAAGTGCATAGACTCTGGACAAAGATTTTAATCATACTCTAGGACTTAGTATGAGAGCAATAAGTAACATATTACCATAAATTTAAGTAATTTCCTTATGAAGAAGGTATAATTTTCCATGATAAAGCATCTTTAACGACATATAAAGGCTATATGCTTAAATACTAAAGTTCAGTATTTGAATTTTCTAGAATGCTTTCTGATCCATCTTTTTGTTTCATAGTACTGTGGATGAATGAATCACTTTCATGTAGTATCAGACGACAACTGCTTCTATTAGATGCCCTTATTTGTTCATGTACTGGAAAATAAGAAATAAATTCTCCATTAGGCACGTATTTCTTCTTTTTCTTTTTAACCAGGTTTGTAGCCTGAATTCATGTGTTTATTCTGGAAATGAGGTAAACCACCCTGGGTTCTCTAGTTATAGAGCAGAAATAGAGAGGTGTCTGTTTGCTGCTTAGCAGTTACCTTGTGTTCAAACTCTTACGTTGTTTCTCTTAGGAAGATTACTAAGCAGAGCTAACACTGAGAAATCAGGTGCTGTTGATGAAAATGGAAAAGAAAAGGACACGATCCAAAATACATTTTCAAAAAAGAGGAAAATGGGAAGTGCGTGTTCAGAATGTGAGGTGGAAGTTATCCCGTTAGAACTGGAAGCACTCCCTAGAGGGGCTGAAGCTGAGGAGTGTCCCCCCAAGTTCAGTAATGAATACAAAGAGCCAATTAGGTAAGAATGATCAAAATTGATTGAAATACTGTTGGTCAAGAATGGTACTTATATTTCTTGCATTGTTACACCCTAGCACCCCACTCCTATACACTCCTATATTTGAAAAATCCTATTATCTTTTCATTTCCTTTTTCCACAAAGTTGTACATTACACACTGAGAAAGTGAAGATGCTTAGATTCCTAGGCTTTTACTTGCATAACTTTATACATGTTTTCTATATATATATTCATAGTTTTGTTGCTTTTTACATTTTTGATTACCATTTAATTTACAGACCTTCTATATAGGCTTCTTTCATCTTTTAACATACTTCAGAAATGGTTGACTTCAAAATATAAGTATATTTCTCTAGTGAGAGATAGGCATGCGTGTTCTTTATTTAAATTAATGTCTAATAATAGATATTTATATATCTGTGTTACCTATATTTTAAGGTCCAATAAAGAGGATTTTTAGTGGTGTAAAGAATAACTTTTTCTTTTTTTTTTTCTTCAGGGAAATGAAGTGTAATAATAGTTCACGAATCCCATATCATTCAGTCATTAGAAGTTCAAAACATAAGGCATCAATTTTTCAATACAATGGGAAAAAGCTGGTAAAAACGGTAAATAGTAAATTAGGCCTTCTGAGAATATGAACTATTTATTATCTCACCTTTTCTACCTAGTTTAAATTGCGTGTGCTACTTAGGCAAGCTGTTGAAGTATAGAGACAGTATTTTATTTATTTCTTATTCCCCCATGGCAATTGGCATGTTCTCAACTTAGATATATGAATAATACGTTAGTCATGATTTGGTGACAGACTTCACCAAGACTGAGAAGCAAGTCATTCTGATGTAGAGTAGCCTTGGTGAGAGAGACGCACCTGAACAAAAGAATAATTCAGAAAGTGACATTTTACATTACTCTCGTATTACTCGGAACTAAGAAGGGTAGTAGGAGACTGAAACTCGGTGTTCCACAGTAGTGCCTGTTGATTAGAAAATTAAGCACTGTTATATATCGGTGTCGTGCAAACAGTTGCCTTTTGCATCGTAACAGTCCACTAGTACTTATCAGTGTCAGATAATGACGGAAATAGAGAGTCACAGGATCATATAGAGCTGGGTTTGACCTGCACTTCTTACCAGTGTGGTGACATCTCTATGCCTATTTTTCTTTATACCATAAAGGATAATTGTTTCTGTCTCAGACTTAGGGTGATTAAATGAAATAAACTTCATTGCTTAGCACAACACTTGCCTCCCTTTTAAGTGGTCAATTATTGACCTTTCAAGTACCGAACTTGAATAGTAATACCAAAACCTACTGCCATCAAGTCTGCTACAGCTTAGAGCAGCGGTTCTCAACCTTCCTAATGCCACGACCCTTTAATACAGTTCCTCATGTTGTGGTGGTGACCCCCCAACCATAAAATTATTTCCGTTGCTACTTCATAACTGTCATTTTGCTCCTGTTCTGAATCGGGTGAGCCCTGTGAAAGGGTTGTTTGACCCCTAGAGGGGTAGTTACCCACAAGTTGAGAACCCCTGCCTTCAAGTGACCCTATGTAGGATTCCCAAGACTAGATCTCCATGGAAGCAAAGATCTCCCTTTTCTCCCTTGGAGCAGCTGCTGGTTTTGAACTGCTTACTTTATGGTTAGCAACCAAAAGCCTAACTCATAGCACACCAGGGTTCCTTAGAATAATGATGGTCAACATTTATTCACCACATCACAATAATTTTAGAATATTTTCTTCTTTTATTAATTATTAGCATGCATTTCCTCCCACCATCTCCTGCCATACCCCCAACGAATCATTAATCCAGTTACTGTCTCTATAGATTTACCTGTCTTGGATTTCATATACAGAAAAATATACCGCAAAAAAAACCCAATGTAAAACAGAAAAAAACCTCAATAGAAAAAGTAGAAAATATTAAGAACTAGAACGGATTTAAATTAGTCAAAAGGGAGGTCTAGTGATAAGCTGTTAAATTTTAACTAATATCTGTAGTCATCCGCTTTCCAATGAGGCTGTGATCTCTATGAAAGCTGACTGCCACTCTGTGGAGCAGCTGGTCGGCCTGAACCGCTGACCTTCTGTATGAAACAGTGTACTGAGTCTTTGTTCACTGTGGCTGACTAAAATGCCTAAAAATAAGCTTGTAGCATAGAAGAGGCTTACCTAGGTTTTCTCAATTCGTGCAAAAACTCCATATGACATCAGCTGTGAGCCTTTTCCAAATCATGCCGATAGCCTATGAAGATTGCAACTTGATGAAAGAGGCCCAACTTCTTCTCCCTGACAAGATATTAAAGATACCTTTGTTTTCTTTTAAGGGATTTACTTCTTCAGAGTCTGTCACCTCAGAAGAGAATCATGGATCGGAACCCAGTCTGGTACAGCCGAATTCTCAAGCCACGGAAACCAAAGGTAGCCGTGTTTCCCTCGGGTGGCCTGCCTCTGGCCTACAGTTTTGTCCCTCTGTTGCTCAGTTCTTCTGGCTGCTTCTCAGACGTCACAACCACCGGCATGCTTGATTCCGCATGAAAAGTACAACTAGATCAGAAGTTGGCAAATTGATTTATAGGCCAAATCCAACTTCCTTTTGTATGACCCAAGAGCTTAGGATGGTTTCACATTTTTAATGGTTCAAGAAAATAGTATCTCATGACGCTTGAAAAATAATTGAAGTGACGGTCAAGGTATACTGGAGAACAGCCACATGCATTCATTAACTTACCGATTGACTGCTGTCGGGCTTCAAGAACAAAGTTGAGCACTTGCAACAGAGATCATGGGGCCCACAGATGTTTACTTAACAAAGATTGTTTTCTGATGACTGGTCTAGACGCCATCTTGAGCTGATAAATGGTAGAACGGGGCAGGTGAGACAAGTCTTGGCTCTACAGAATCAGTGGATGACTTTAGAGCCATTGTCTAAAGAAGTCTTTTTCAAATCCCACATTGGGCTCCTGTAAAGATGAAGACACTTTGCTCTATTGGTCCTGCAGAAGTCTAGCCGACACTGCCGAGAGGCTGCCCCTCTGAGAGGATGCTCAGAGGGACTAGCAAAAAGCTGAAGTGCTTGTCCCTCCCAGTCTCTGTTTTCTCTTATCTCAGTTGCATAGTTAATATTACAACAGGGGGACCTTGATTTTTGGTACTTTCTCATCTTACTGTAGTATATTTGCGAGCAGAGAGGGAGACATTGTTGAACTGCCCTTTTGGGGGAGAACTCTCCAGCCACTGCTGCCTCTTTTCCCCTTGAGCCTTCTTGCATGTGCACTCCCAACTCCCCACTTGGTCTTGAAAAATGCAAACTGGGGGGAATAGAAAAGGTCTATCAAGAAAACAAATCTTATGAGAAGCTGCTATTATTATTTTGCCATTTAATGCATATAAGCATGATTACCGTTGTTTTTTGGTCTTGCCATTTTCACTGAATGCTACAACATAGGTAATAGGCCTTCCAACACTCATCATTATATATTCTCATGGCTCACAGGTAACCCGTGAATTGTGAAATATCACTCCTTTTAGGAATAGCAACCAGCAACTAATAATTATGTCGTGAATATTCGTTTTACAGAAAAACCATTTCTTTGTGCCCTTGAATTAGTTGGCACAAGACACTTTTTTGTAAAGAGAGCATATTATCCCATTGATACGTAGTCATACTTTTGAAGTCTCCACAAAGCATTTCCCTTACTGAGGATGCAATCTCTTTATTTCAAAATACTGTAGATTACGAGAGTATGATTGTCCGGTCATCTGGCCAAACCACAAAGTCCTGCTGTGTACAAAATCCATACCGATGCACTTGCTGCTCCTGGAACTTGAGGAAAGTGGCTCTGATAGGTTTTCTCAGGCCTCTCAATAAGTTGATTGTACCTTCCTAAGCTCCCACTGCTATTACAACTCTTTGGAATATACGTAAATGCAGCAACAGAACTGGAGAGGAAAATCCGTTTGTAGGGAGCACAAGGGAGCAATATATAGGCACATAAAAACTGATTATAGTGTAATGGAAAGAAGGCAGATGCCAAACAGTTCTGGGTCTGTCTGCATTTTTCATTATTATGGGTAGAGTGATCCTTTAAGTCTTCAGAGGCTCGGTATTTCATTTGTAAAATTATAACACATTGGGGCCATGAATGTACAAATGTGCTTTACATAATGGATGGATGTATGGATTGTGATAATAGTTGTATGAGCCCCTAATAAAACGATTGAAAAAAATTTTTTTAATTAAAAACTTTTAAAAAATTATAACACATTATAAGGATTAGCATTCATTAAAGCAACTAGCATGTCATTAATACGGTTAACCTCAATGTTATTGCTCAATTAAGTGTACTGTCTGACAGTATCTTCCAAATTTCTATTAGAGGACTCAACCTCTGATCAAGTTGAAAATTTGGAAGACATGGTGCTGAGTGAATCAGATGTGATAGATATAACCAAATGTAGAGAAACCCCACCTGAGATCAAGTTTACCCAAGCACTCCCATTGGATAATCAGAGGACAATGAAGAAGTTTGAAGTTCAGACGCCCCAAGAGGAGAAATCTTCAGCATCTCAAAGTCAGCAGGCCGTTTGTGGTGAAGAATCGCCTAATGAAATCAAATATACCTCATCTGATGGTCCAAGGAAGTTCAATACAGGGAATATATTTTTATTGGATGCTACGAAAGAAGGAAATGTGGGCCGCTTCCTGAATGTGCGTATCTGGGTTGAAATTCCTATTTCTAAGCAACTTATACTTCTTAGCAAAATCAGGAGATTATGATTCGCAGACAAAAGCCAAAGAGCTTGGATTAATTCCCAGCCCTTTTAGTAGCTAGCTGTGTGGCCTTGGCCATGCCGGGTAACCTCTGTATGCCTTCGTTCCCTTCCAGAATTGGGAACTGATAACAGTAACTGTCTGAAGGGGATTGATATCACTTAAAACACAGGAAACATTTACCTTTAAAAATCCTATAAAAATGATATATAAGAATAGTTACTCCAGCGTATTCAAAGGTTGAGATTAAAAAGTGAGGGCGAGAAATGTGACCCAGTTCACATATCCTTTGAAAAGTTCCAGGTTAGCACACTGCCTCCGATACGGTTTTTCTCTCTCTCATCTGTTAGAGGTCTTCCTCCTTGTGTTGTCGCCTTGACCTTTTCCTTAACGAGAGAATGAAGGAAGGAAATGAGTGGCCCGGGGTTTTTCAGGCATTCCCTTTGGCGACGCCGTCAGAGTGAGCTCAGTACCTCCCTTCTAGATGTGACCTTTGTTTTGTGCTGAGTGAAAAATGCTCATGAATTACATGTATTGGGCTGCTGTTAGAAGAGGAAATGCTCTTAAGTCAGAAAACATTTCTTTGCTGGGTGAATCTGCTTATTTGACTTTTCCTTTTTATGGTACCTAGTTAGGACATGATCAATAAGGAATAGAATTCTCCAGCTCGCTGCCCGCATCCACTAATTACTGTTCTCTGTCGCACTTTGCCCGAAAAGTTTCCAAACTTATTTGGCCTTTTCCCAAACATAGTTGACTCAGAACTCCCTTGGCAGTTAAAAACTTTGAACTGTAGCCCATAATCATGCAGCCCCATTTGAGCCTTCCAAGGAGCCCTGGTGGCTTAGTGGTAACACACACACACACACACACACACACACACACACACACACCCCTCCTACTATGGAAAACACTCACAATCCCCATGCCACCTGAATCCCTCACTTGTTTGTGGAGGGAAAAAAACCAGCTTTCTGTTTTTATTTTTATGCATCAATAATACACATCTGGTTCGAAAATTACAGCGAAATTAAAAACCATATCTTGAAAAGTAGAGTTCCATTTATCTCCCCCCCAACTCCATGCTCTATAGGTGTTTTTTATTACTTTAAATACTCATCCAGTGTTTTTTAATGCATATACAAGTAGGTACATATTGTTCTTTCTCTGTCTCTTACATAAAAGGAAGCTTATTAAAGTCAGTGTTCTATCTGCCCATAACAGTACACACAGATAATACGCTTTTAGTATCTTGATAGTGTTTTAAAACTACGCATAATGTTTTCGGCAGCTGCTTGTTTCTAAACCTGATTAAACATAGTGCTCATTGGATAATCTTGTATGTAGATTATCTTGTATATGTGCTGATATATCTGTAGGATATATTCTCAGGGCTAGGCAGCTGCATTCTGAAAGAATAGCTGCACTTATTATAATAAATATGGGCAGATTAATTGTCTAGGTGTTTGCATTTCTACCAGCAAGCTACTGGAGTGTCCTAACAGCTTTTCCGAATGGGTTCCATCTAATTAAAAGAACTTGCATGGTGTGTGTGTGTGTGTGTGTGTGTGTGTGTGTGTGTGTGTGTGTGTGTATTTAGCTGGAAGGAAAAATGTAAGATATGCTAGAAACCCAGTAGTGCTCTCAATATTACTTCTAAAGTTCAAGGTGTCAACCTTATTCGATTGATAACTTGTCTTTTTAATTTTTTTCTCCAACAGCATAGTTGTTGCCCAAATCTCTTGGTACAGAATGTCTTTGCAGAGTCACATGACAGGAATTTTCCAATGGTAGCATTCTTCACCAACAGGTTTGAAATGTATTTTGTTCATATGATGGAATTCGGGAATTGTGACTTTAAGAAATAACGGTGACAAGTTGTTTTTCTGCAGTGTTCTATCGATGACATGAAAAAGGGAAACACATTCGATTACCCCAGAGTTTCTGGTGTTCTCGAATATTTAATTGTCCTTAGTCAAAAATTTTGAACAGCTGAAATTGCAGTTCTTTTCCTCACGTAGAATTACTGCCTGAGAGGGGTTTCAGGGAGGAGATGAGCCAGTCAGGGTGCGATGTAACAACGATGAGAAATACAACTTTCCTCTAGTTCCTAAATGTTTCCTCCCCGCTCCCACTACCATGACTCGAATTCGATCTTGCCAGTCTGGCTAGACCAGAGGAGGTACACTGGTACAGATAAGAACTGAAAATCCAGGGAATCCAGGACGGATGAGCCCTGTGGGACCAGTGGTGTGAGCGGCAAAACAGGGAGGGTAGAGGGAGAGTGGGTAGGAAAGAGGGAACCGATTACATGGAACTGTGTGTGACCTCCTCCCTGGGGGACAGACAACCGAAAAGTGGATGAAGGGAGACGTCGGACAGGGCAAGATATGACAAAATACCCATTTATAAACTATCAAGGGCTCATAAGGGAGGGGGGAGCGGGGAGGGAGGGGGGAAATGAGGACCTAATGTCGGGGGTTTCAATGGAGAGAAAATGTTTTGAGAAACGATGTACAAATGCGCTTTACACAATTGATGTGTGTATGGATTGGGATGACAGTTGTATGAGCCCCTAATAAAATGCTAAAAAAAAAAAAAACACCTTAAAAAAAAAAAACAAACAAAAAAAAACCCTAAAAAAAAAAAAAAAAGAAGAATTACTGCCTGACAACGAATGTACAGATGTGCTTGTCACAAAGGATGGATGTATGGATTGTGATAGGAGTTATATGAGCCCCTAATAAAATGATTTTTTTTTTTAAATGTACATCACTACTTGCTGGGGGAGAACCATAAAACAAGCTAAATAAATCAATAAAGGATTATGGGCATAAATTGTGATAAAACTGTGCCAGTACTCTGGAGGGGAAACAAAGAATTGATGCCTGAAACAGATGAGGATGTTGGGTCTCGCCCAGTTCAGTTCATTGGTATAAATAGCAAAGTTTGCGCACACTAAATGCCGTAACACATTACTGTTCAGCGCACTTTCTTCCTACTGGAAACAAGTTCTGAAGACACTGTTTCTAGGTGTCTTAAGTGCTGCTCTGACACAAACACTGTGTGAGTGACGACTGAGCAGTGATGAGGTTTAGGACTCACCCCGCTCTGCTAGGGCCGCATTAAAATAACTGAAGAAATGGCTCATTTCCAGTGAGGGTCATGTGTACAGCTAAAGGGGTGTTAGAACCGCCACATTTCTTTTGGTGGGAGGCAGAATACAATCCTTAATATTTAGGATTTTAATAATTTTGATATCAAGCTCAAGTGATGATTACTGATGAAAGATCTTAGCTAGTTGATGGAGCTGTGGAGAAAGAATGGATCACATTGAGAATGGCAAATGTGGTTTGTGTCAATGATATAATATGTATTATTTTTCATTTCTACTTTCTAGGTATGTGAAAGCAAGAACAGAGCTAACATGGGATTATGGTTATGAAGCTGGGAGTATGCCTGAGAAAGAAATCCTCTGCCAGTGTGGCACTAATAAGTGTAGGAAAAAAATATTATGACTACGTAGCTCATTTCTATTCATGGGAAAGGAATTTTCATACATTTAGCATTTGTTTATTCCTGCTCTATTCAACTTTACAGAAGTAGGATGGAAGTGTACATTTGAAACTGTACAATTTGTAGCTTGTAAATTATCTATATGAAGAGAAATGTCACAATAGAATTCAGCTGTTTGTCATTGTTGTTTTTGTGGTGATTATCTCTTTAATTCGTCCCCCAAACCAAACCCCCTGGGGTCAAATGCATTCCAACTCATAGTGACCCTAGATGTCCATGGAACTCGAATAGAAGAGAGTGCGCCTGTAGGATTTCCAAGGTTGTCAGTCTTTATGGATGCTGACTGCCACTCTTTCACCGTGGGATTGGCTGGTAGGGTTACACCACCAGTCTTTTGGTTCCTAGCCCATCACTGTAACCACTGTGCCCCCAGAGTTCTTTATACACCCCAAAGTGATATTTTACCTCTGTGCTTAAAAATATTTATTTACCGTATATACTTGTATGTAAGCCGGGTTTTTCAGCACATTTTTAATGCAGTTTTTCTGGTAAAATTAGGTGCCTTGGCTGATATTTGGGTCGGCCTATGCTCAAGTATATACGGTATGTTGAATTCCTGGCAAATCACCTATCAGCATATGAGACTCATCAGATTAATTTTAGTTAAGTCTGATTGATCATTGCTTCTATTATTTGTATGAATTTATAGCAGTACCTTCATTGCTTTTAAAACTTCTTTCGGCCCTTCGTTTAGCTCTCATATTTAGCTTTGCTTATGCAATGATTTCTAGCCTGAAGCCTTCTATGATAATGGCTTATATTGAAGCAACACCCTTAAATAATGACAAAGACCCTGATGTGGTAACTGGTTTAGAAGTAGACCGCATGAACTGACTGCAGTAGAGTAATAGAAAATAAAACAGAGCCATTTATACAGTGACCCTAAAATAGCAAGCCCTGCAGTGTGCCCTTGTACAAAGCACATAATATTTAGAGGCCCCTGAAGATCAGGTTTAATTTCTGTACAGAAAAAAAGGAAAGTATCAGTAGTTTCCCATTTGTTTTATGAAGCTAGCAAGCATACTTTGGAAGCAGAAGTTGGCAAGGACAGGCTGAAGAAGGAAAACTAAACCAGCATCACCCAAGGAAACATTTTAAAATCCTAAAGCCAATATCAACAAATAAAATCCATCTCTGTATATAAAAGATAGGACTACATCATTACCAAGGTAGTGTTATGCCAGGAACAAAAGGATAGTTTCACAAATGAAAATGAATTCGCAGAGGCTGTAGGGGGCAAAATTACAGGGACAGCTTAAATTTTGGTCCAAACCCCTCATAAGGAGAGTGAGGAAATGGTACGGGGACCTTGTTTGATCTCTGGCTATACAATAGAGGAGAATTCAACCCAAAGCCAGTTCTCACAAAGCAGAGATCAGACATGCCTGCACACCCACACCCCCCGTCTTCCTTTGCCCTGTTCTCACACCGACCATCCTTCCCATGGCACTCCTTGTCTGCTGGGTTTGATAACTTGTTGCAGTGGCCACACAATGCACAATTGTTGGGGTTTTAGTAGGAGAACAAGTTCCTAATGCTTTGATCTGTTGCATCTTTTAGCTATGCAGGCAGCCATGTCTGATCCCTGGCTTCTCGTGCATGTCCCTTGACCTCTGCCTCTGTGGGCCAAGAAGCCTGCCCACCATTCTGCCTCACAGCGGAGCCCTGCTCCTCTGCTCTCTCACAGGGAGTGAGAGTCCTCTACACCTTACGTGCATGCGCCTACGTTCCCTGGGTATGAGTTACAAATATGGGTAGAAAAAGAGCATATTACCCAATTTCACTTCCTCACAGAGGAACTAGGATATAGCAAAAGAAGAAAACCCACTGGAAATATTTTCAACAAAATTGATAACAAGAGAGTGCCCAACATCATCAAAACAAAAACTCATATCATTGTGAATGAGGGGGAGTGAGGAGTGGAGACCCAAAGCCCATCTGTAGGCAATTGACATCCCCTCACGGAAGGGTCATGGGGAGGAGATGAGCCATACAACTCCACCGATGAAACATACAACTGTCCTCTAGTTCTTTAATGCTTCCTCCTCCTTATCCCCCACTATCATGATCCCAATTCTGCCTTACAAATCTAGCTAGACCAGAGGATGTACACTGGGACCGATAGGAACTGAGAATCCAGGGTGGATGATCCCATCGGGACCACTGGTGAGAGTGGCGATACCAAGAGGGTGGAGGGCAGGTGGGGTAGGAAGGGGGAACTGATGACGGATCTACATATAACCCCCTCCCTGGGGACGGACAACAGAAAAGTGGGTGAAGGGAGATGTCAGACAGTGCAAGATATGACAAAATAATAATTTATAAATTATCACGGGTTTGTGAGGGAGGGGGAAGCAGGGAGGGGGGGGAAAGGGAGGAGCTGATGCCAGGGGCGTAAGTGGAGAGCAAATGTTTTGAGAATGATGAGGTCAATGAAGGTACAAATGTGCTTTACACAATGTATGTATGGATTGTGAAAGGAGTTGTATGAGCCCTTAATAAAATAATTTTTTAGAAAAGAGTGCCCAAAAATCAGTACGAGTGGCTGGGATCAAATCACGCAAGGATTTACGCAGACATGTTGGGCATATAGCATTGTGTAGGAAGAAAATTGGGAATTTACAGAACACGGTCTTACAACAAGTGCTATTTAGAAGAGAAGAAAATCCCATTCAGGGTGGAATCCTCAGTTAAAAAGATCTGAGAACAGCCAGCAAAGCCTAGAGAAGGTTCCTCAGGCATCATGTTTGGGCGAATGCAATAAAATTCACAAGGATACACTAAAGAACCACGGGAAGATAAATACATAAGCCAAGCTTCCTAATACAAGTCAGCCTCCTAGGGTCTCAGAAATCTAAGAGCAACCTTCCAATCCAGGATAGAGAATTATCCCTAATCCTAAGGAAGATGTATGTGTGTATGGTCATTTTCGGTAATAACAGAGGAGAGAATTCATAGTCTATGAAGCTAGAAGAGCTCCCCTGTCTCAACCCCCATCACCCCATCACAGGATTATCCTGACAGTTTATTTAAACAATAAAGAAGATTGTGAGCAGACATCCTACAAATATTTTAGAAAAGGAAAATTAATGTGCCAATAAGAACATGAAGGCTTATTGGAAAATTATAACCACAAAGCAAGTGAAAAACTCACATTTTCACAGAAACAAGAAAAAGGCTTAGTAGATGTTGAAGCCATGAAAGGGCAACATAAGCCACGAGTAAGCATTAAATTCATAGATACCACTTGACAACTATGCACACAACACATTTTTAAATCTTGAGTTTTAAAAAGAACAGGTTAGAAAACATCTCATTTGTAAACTATGCCAGACTCAGCAATTGTATATATACAAACTGGAGAAAATCTTAACCATGTATCTGAAGATAGATATGTCATAATGTTCAAAAATAATTTAAAACCTGGAAGAGCACAGCTATCCAGTATAACAAGGATCGACGAATTGTTGCCAATTCTAACAGCAGTGCAAAAAGTCCAATTGGATTATTGAGCCAAAATGCAATTTACAGATACATATATAAATTTTAACATATTTCAAAATATTTGTGATAGAAAAATGATAACGCAAAATTCAGAGTATTCAATACCTTCATGAGGACAAGTCATAAATTATTGCTACTAGAATTAGAGTTCAGACATGTATGTACAAGTTTTTTTCCAAACAAACTGTGTTTAAGCATGCCTCTATAATCAATGGATGATTACAAATAAGTTCTCTCAGTAATACAACTTATCTTAGACTTAGGATGACTTCAAGAAAAAGATGATTTTTTTTAAAAATCAGGGCAAATATCAAGTTTTTAACAAACTTCAAGCAGACATCTTCCCAAATCATTAAAGCTTTGCAACAAATTTACAAAACTGCTGCTAAAATAAATGTTTGTAGATAAATATTTTAAGGAAGGTCGGGAAGATATGAAAGATGAGCCAAAATAGACCAGAGCATGTCCCAGAGCTCGAAACAGGAAATCCAGGACAGATAAACCCCTCAGGACCAATAATGAGAGTAGCGATACCAGGAGGGGCAGGGAAGGTGGGTGGAGAAAGGAGGAACTGATTACAACGCTCTATATATTACCCCTTCCCAGGGGGATGACAACAGAAAAGTGGGTGAAGGGATACAGAGGTCAGCATAAGACCTGAAAAAAAGATAATTTATAAATTATCAAGGGCTCATGAGGGAGGGGGACGCGAAAATGAGCTGATATCAAGGGCTCAAGTAGAAAAAATGTTTTGAAAATGATGGCAGCATGTGCACAAAGGTGCCTGGCACGTGGATGGATGCGTGGATTGTGGTAAGAGCTGTGCGAGCCCCCAGTAAAATGATTTTTTTGTTTGTTAAGGATTTCATTTTATTTGGGTTTTTTGTTTTTATTATTTAAATCATTTTATTGGGGGCTCTGACAACTCTTATCTCAATCCATATATACACCCATTGCGTCAAGCACATCTGTACATGTGTTGCCCCCATCATTTTCAAAAACATTTGCTTTCCACTTGGGCCCTTGGAATCAGCGCCTCGTGTTTCCCCTCCTTCCCCACTCCCTCCTCCCTCATGAACCCTTGATAATTTATAAATTATTATTTTATCATATCTTACACTGCCCAATGTCTCCCTTCACACACTTTTCTGTTGTCCATCCCCCAGGGAGGAGGTTATATGTAGATCCTTGTAATCAGTTCCCCCTTTCTACCCCACCTTCCCTCCA